TGCTTAGTTGATTATCTAAATAAATTATGAATAAAAGGGGAATGATAGTGATATACTGTAACAAGAGTTTAATAAAAACCACATATTCGAAGATATATACCATATATTTATGGTATAACTATTTTTAAAATTATATTGTGTTATAAATTGTTTTTACAGGTGTAATTACTTAACCATATTTGCACTTTTATAATCATGAAAGAAATAGTACATTTGAAACAACTGTCAATTTTATATTTAGTGTATATTATTGAACATCCAATATCTATGTCATGATGTTATGGCGGCTTGCTAGAATATCTAGGTTACCTGTTCCTACCATCTAGATATTTCAACAAGTTATCTGTTTTTATTTGTTTTAACATATCATTATGTCTATTCATCGTATAATTTATTTAGGAGTACTTATGAAAAGTTCACTACTCTATAAGTAACAAAAAGTTACAATTAGAAATATCATGGTGGCTGGTAATATATGCATTGAAAAGAATGAACATTATTGAAATGTCGATTGCTGGCCTCTTAACATCTAACTGATGATCTTTCAGTATTTATTGTCAGGATCGATCAAGAAATAAGGAAAGGGAATACTATGCCAAGAATTCTATATTGTACCAAAAATTAAATATTGAATAAAGCCATTAATAATGATGATATTATATTTATATGAGATCGAAGTATAAATGGAATTATAATTGACATAATTAGGTAATGAAAAGAGATATTAACTGTTGTGTTCGACTATTTTTTTTCTTTCTAGGCAACGTACATTGTCACTGTTCATAATAGATAACATTTTTCTATTCCATTTTAATTCAAATATAGTATATGATATTGAGTATTTCAAGTATACTTTCATGAATGCAAATAAATGAAAGTATAGTCAGATATCTTTCTATTAAATTAGGTGCTAAAGTACTTCGTGTAAAACTTGGAGTTGACTGGTTGGAGCATCTACTAAAGATTAGGTGTAATTTCATACGAGTATAATATTTTAAAAATTCTTTACAACCTACCTTTTATAAAGTTAAGTATCTTATGCATTGACTAGTATCAAAGGGGATTGGTATTATTCATATATACTGATTGTCGCCTATGTAAAAAAAAGACTTTTCACTTTGTTCAGCATAATTTTAAAATAGTTTTCCATTGTAAACTGAAATCATTTAGAGAATTATTGAAAATCACACAACATTTAAAATTTATTCCATCCTATTTTCTTGTCATTCAGCAGATTTTTCATGAAAAGATTTATATTTCAACAAATTATAGGAATCTTATAGTTTTCATTATTTTCTATTATTGATAAGCATCTATTTAGAATCCCAGTTAATTTGAATCTATCATGGAAGTTACATTTAACATTAATTGTTTCTATCTAAACTAATTAGTTAACATTAATGATCATAACCAGGTGTTAATTGACTTAGTCATTGTTTTGGAACCTTTCATTGTCTTGTATTTTCTTTCTTTGTACATCATAACAACTTATTTATCAATTATATTTCTATAAATTTGGCTACGATTATAGAATAGTAGAGAGAGAGAGAGTATGCTTTAATCCCTTTTTTAAAAGACGTATTCGCAAATAGAAAATATGATTGTTTGTTATGTTCATATGGTTGACATTAAAATAGTTGTATTACTAATAATCTTTTTTTTCCAAAATTAATCATTTATTCAAGCATTGGACAAGTTCATTAGTTTTTCTTTTTTTGTATTTCCATCAAATGTAGAATCATAATGGAAAGTAGTTAATTAATACTTACCGATATGTAAGAAATTAATTTTTTTTAAGTGTATTTACAATACGTTTCAAAATGACTATTTACATTTTGAAGGTAAATGGAGCCATTCATTAGTTGATATGAATATTTCCACTCTTTATTTCTTGTTTCATCCATCATTTTTATGTTCACCATTGTAATATTGTTCGTTGTATTGTGTTGTGTTTTAACAAACCTCTTTTCTTACCGTCGCCAATTCTCATAACCACGTACTAATTGTATTTATTTCTTCTTAAAGTGAGATTTTTTATAAACAATATTTCAATTTATTTTTGCTAATTATAACCACTACCTTATTTCACTGCATCTTATCATTGTGTTTTAGTAGTAAGTGGTATCCATCCTGAATTCTGCCACCAAATGCCAACCAAAAAAAAACTGAATGCATTTTGTTTATTCATGTTCACTGAACACTTCATTCGTTTCATATCTGTATCCACTCTGTTTCATGTGAGGAAAGGAGAGGACGCAATAATAAAACCTCACTATCTTGTTTAAAATTTCTGTTTTCCATTTCTGTCCACGTCAAATGATAATTTATCATTCGCAATTCCTTTTACTCGGGTTTATTTTTTTTCTAACTTTCTAATATATATATATATATATATATATATATATATATATATATATATATATAGTTATCTATCCAGGATTTCCGCTGTTAGACTAGTCGTTAGTAAACGAAAGATTCTACGTCTGTTATTCTGATATTTTGTTTTATCCTATTTTTATTTCTCTATTTCGTTCATTTTTATCATCTTGTCTGGCATAAATTTTCCTTTCACTAGACGGGAAATATTGTGATGTAATGGCCTCTTCTTTTGTGTTAAGTTCATTTGAAATCTTATAAATCAGAATATTCACTTTTTACCACTCTAATGTAGAATACTTTCGAAAGCCATGATCTTGCTATTTATTCATCTAGATGTACACTCTACTTATAAGTAATATAAATCAGTAAACAAAATTATCGTTTGAGGTCTATGCGTAGTCCATTCCCGAACGAAATATTATAACTGGTTCCCACTAAGCTTGATAGGATGGGGAATGAAGAAGAGTTCCATGATTGCTCATACAAATCAAATCAAAACTTTGAAATCCGAAATAGCATATAAATAGTTGCGTCACATCTCATTGTTTATCAATTTACATTTGTTTGAATGCATCTATAGAGATAAGTAATCGTGGTTTACAAATCGGATTGGCTGAACATGTGCTCAAACGGTTACTAAAACAAACAAATTCGGGTTTCTCAACCTGATTTGATAAATGGGAACATATATATATATATATATATATATATATATATATATATATATAACATATCTATTATACAGTATGGTGCGAACATGTATCCCACAATGCTATATCGAACCCATCAAATTTAGTAATAACCCTAGGTGTGACAACAGCCATCTTTTATCAAATTTCTTTCCAGTAATTTCCGATCCTTTTAACTTCCAATCACATAACACTAAACAAGTTTCATAATGGTATCGGTTCACTTGGACCGGATTTCACTGCTAGCCACCATCTATCTCTGCTTAAAAATGCTTGTGACTTAGTGGCAATATCGAGGCAATCCGCACAGGAAGCATAAATACCAAAAGACATTGACCAATTTTAGTCATAAACATCAGGGGGAAGATTCAAACAATCAATACATATAAACTTATAATAATAGTTTTGTCGGAAACTGATTGATGGAATTCAGTGGAAGCACTAATGACTTCACATAGCGCTGATGATATTGTCCAGATCAATAATGAATAGTTCAAAATTAAAGTATACAGATTAGGGAATAAATCTTCACCACCACCACCACCAAAATTGAAGTAATGAATTCAATGTTTATTGATAATCTTTAAGTATATTATTTGGCAACAGTAAAAATAGTAATTATAGGTTTTTTTATAATTTCCTTGGTTAATTGGATTATCATACATAAAACGATGTATTCTTCTTGGTTGTATCTGATCATTTTACTACTGTTCTGTATTCTTTCTATTTAACATCATAATCAGTCCTTAATACAAATAAATAAAATGGTTAAACAACAGTCTTTAAATGAATAAAAACTACATTTTCAAAAATCAGTCATAGGTCAAAAGAAAGAAAGAATGTTGATAAGAATGCAAAAATTATATTCCTATGTGAAGAGTTCAAGAATCATGTGTTATAATCTCTTAAGCGTGATAAAAATAAAAAACTTGCATTTTCATATTATTATTATTATTATTATTATTATTATTATTATTATTATTATTATTATTATTATTATAACCTATATATTGTTGATGTCTGTACTATTTCGGTCAAAGTAATGCATGGTCTAAAGTAAAAAATGTCAAGAATAAATTGGTCATGTTATATTTTAGACCGAAGTCAAATTTGCCAAAAATATTTGGATGAAACCAAATAGATAAGTTACCGTTACCTTACATTTTGTCCGTAATATGTTCCATATATATATATATATATATATATATATATATATATATATATATATATACTATTCTGTAACATTATGTTACATATGTTCCTTTATTCTGGTAATCAATTTTTTCGCTTGTCATTATTACTCAATATTAAAACATTACATGTAGTACTTGTTTCCGTCTCTTGGAAAGAATTGATGTCTTATACATTTTTAATGTGAAAAAATCTCAATGACAACTGTGGTTGGAAGAAGTGACTTACTGAAATAATCTATTTTTTATAACCTACGAAAAGCCATCTGTTATGTTATGAATTGACAATTTACTTACTTATCTGTATATCCAATATAATTTGATGTTTCTTACTAAAACTATTGTAAAGTCATCTCTACAAGTTCGTTCATCGTAGTAAAAAGTAATTATGAGCGAATTTTTCTAAGGATTTATATGAATTATTCACTACTTGTTCTTATAAAATTATACATTGTTCATAAAATCAATACAGTAGTTGATGATATAAAGTGAAAGGAATTAAATGGGTTCACTTGATTTAACTATAATTAATATTTTTAGTTTATAAACATTTCTAGATGAAGTAATTTTATGAAGATATTTGTTTGTCACTTTTTGCTTATTTATTTCAATAACTGATTACATCATTTTATATCGTATTATTATTTAATCATAAAATATCCGACAAGTTAAATAGTAAAGTATGTATAGATATACATTGCCATATTTAATGTTAAAGCGTTTATAATTTTACAATTCACAGGTAACTCTAAGTAGTGTACAACGAGGTGAAATTGAATTGTGGTTAACGTCCCCAGCTGGAACTATTTCACAACTTTTAAGCAAAAGGCCAAAAGATATTGATGTCGCTGGATTTCATGCATGGCCATTTATGTCTGTACACTATTGGGGTGAATTAGCCAATGGTACTTGGAAATTAACAGTTAAATCGGGAAATGCTGTCGGTAAGCTTTATGGTATTTTTTTTTAAAGAGCGTTATCTTCATATTTTAGAATGCATTTAGTTTGGCTAACCAACTTGGCTAAAGCCTGTGTAAATGTATCAGTATGATATGCCAAAATTTACACGAAATTTTCAACTACTGCGCAGTTCACTATCTCTGTCGTAGACATTATGCACATAACAACTAACCTTATTCTAAAGCGTATACAACGTCAGAATTAAATGTACTGGATCAGTTGCAAAACTATACCTTTTAAGGAATTGTCTCATCCCTGTCAACGCATATGTAGCATATCTCATTATGGGCATGAACAGTATAAGACATAAACCTTGATAAACAATGGTTTTCTCTGATTTTAGGATGAATCCTGAGCAACACGAAGCCTAAATGTAGAATATTTCTTGTCTATTATTTTGAAGCGTCTAATATTGGCATACACAATAAACCATAATGCTATATGACATTTCTAAATTATCCTGTCCCACTTTGTAATCTGAGCGTTTCTATTGGAATTCGAAACTATAAAATTACCTAAATATCGCTTGAAAGTACAATTTTCTCTTAATTTTGTTTCTGTTGCTTTTGAACTTTATAACTTCTCAACATTCATCTCTTGATTCTTACGTAACTACTATTCTATTGACCATCCATTAAAAATTTCTCTTCTCTTTTCATATATTACGCAACGTAGAAACTTCTTGATTACTTTGAATATTAATAATCCTCTTTCTTCCAATTACTCTATGTTAATTTAAATGTCATTATGTAATTATTACGTAACGTATCCACTCGATGAGTATTATATCATTATTGTAAATCATATATATATTAGTGTAGAGCCATGATGAAAAACTAATTGGAAATAAATTTCTTCGCTCAATTCGTTCTTTATTTACCAAATATTCTGAATACAGATTATTCTGGAATCCGTTTTTTGAAAATGATTCTTCAGAATTCTGACTCCTTTAAAAATCATTGCAAACATTTTCTGAGTTAAAGCAAACATTTTTATCATAACCTAATGTCGTTTTATGAGATAGGATATTAGATGTCATCAGCATGTAATTGTTTAACTGATATGAAATCAAAATTGAGTTGCCATTGTATTTTGATCGTTTAGCCAACGATCGGACAACATTTAGCCGATAATGTAAATATCAATAATTTTATTTCGACTGTTACCTAGTTTGTTGTTTAAACATCAATTATTCTTTCAGTTATCACAAAAGTATACCAACTAATACAATTCTATATAATTTAACTACTACCTAATTATTTGAATCATAACAACGTTTCACTTGGCAATCTTGTCGAAGCTTTTCCATGATGATATTCCCTTGAAAAAGATGAGACTAGATTACCAAGTGAAACGTTGAAGGTAATTAAAATTCGATTGCTGAGATCTTTACAAATATTATTTTCCTCCTTTATGTTTTACATTAATTCGATGCCCAACTACTGTGAAACTATTCGTTCAAAGTTAGACAAAGGTTTTTATAATTATCTGGAAGTTATTTGTTATATTTTATTTCAGTTTTGATTCATGATTGGAGCTTAATTTTATATGGAACAAATACTCCACCACCATCTGTACCAAGTTCTTCGCATAGACGAGGTGTCAGACAACTTCCCAGGAACCAAGAGGCTAATCCTTCTGCAAAATCTCAAAAAACATGGATTGATCCACAGAAAGACAAATTTCATTCATCTAAAACTTCACAACAGCCTCAACAAAAATCCATTGAAACATCAAAGCACTATTCCTTAGATTCTGTTTTAAATCCTATTAATCAAGAAAATGGTGATCATAGCTCTATTGGTTCATCGGAAAATCAAAACTCTTATCCTTATCCACCATTTTACTATTTAAACAATCAAAACTCTTATCGATATTGGCCTACTTGGAATAGTGAATACCAGAGTTTGTCACCTGTTCAAGCCCCACCTCCACCTCCTCCTCCACCGCCACCTATACCAACGATCTCTGTTCTGTCATTACCACCGCCTTCAGCACCACTATCTTCTTCCTCCTCCTCATCATCCTCTTCTGCCGCTTCACATTCTTTATCCTCTTCTTCTTCATCATCTCATGAATTCTACCCTAATTATTTTCCACAATCTTCTATTCCCTTCTCTTCTACCGGTCATTCTTCATCAAATCATGGTTTAGACGAATCAAATCCTTCAATTGAATTTGATCTACCATCATTAGTTGTACAGTCGAATGATTTCACACATATTGAAACATCTAATACACTCGATCGAAATGGTTATTCCGAACACGAACTTAGTTTATCTCAAAATCATGGACAATTATTAGTTAATCATGATGAGTCAATACAACGTAGCAATCATAAAATTGAGAATAATAACAATTATATTAATATTAATAATAAAAACACATTGAATAATTCTGTTTATTCTATTAATGTAAAGTTCCTTTATTTATTATCCTCTCTAATCTTATTTATTTTATTTGTCTACTGAGTAGAAATTACTGTTATATATACATATGCAGCATTTCTCTTTAAAAACCAAAAATAATGATTCAATTTTTGTCTGTTTTGTCAAGTCGTTTCATTGTTGTCGCTGTTGTTGTTGTTGTTGTTGCCGTCGTCGTCGTTTTTCTCCTTATTCATCTATCTTCAGTTTATAGATTGTTCTGTATTTGAAAGTGCCAATTGTGAACATTCAATTTTAAACTATTAATATCAAATATTGTTTTAGGGATTTTATTTTATTTTTTATTTTGTGAAATATAAAGCTATTAAAAATTGAATTCATTCTGTCAGTAAAAAAAATTTTTTTTTTCTTTAATTAATCTTAATTAGGAACTGTTTAATGAAAAATTTATCTTCTTCTTAAAACATACTTGTTAGATTTTGCTTCAAATTTGTAATGATGATTATGAAGATGATGAACAAATGTGTTTATATGTGTTCTAGCATGTAATGAGTAGTACAATTTGATTTTCTACTAGCGAATACATTTTAACTTTGAAAAGTGTGAAATTATTTTGTTTCTTTGTTTGCATTCCCTTTAGTGTGATTATATATATATATATATATATATATATATATATATATATATATATATATATATATATATTCAAGTTTGTTTACTTACAGTCACTCATCCATTTATCTCTATGAATGTATATTTTTATGTATAAAAGTAAATGAAACATTGAAAATTCTTCAATATCCTATAAAAGGGGTTTATCTTTATTTTAAATGTTTAGCTCTCATACATCTATACGCACATATGATATAAATAATCTCATTGATTGATCCATTATTATTACCAAAGGAATAAATTTCATTCACAAAATTAAATATAGTTTTTTTTCTTTTATCTTACAATCTATTTGATTATTTTTTAGCAATTTTACAAATTATTCTTATTTCAGTTTTATCTGTATGTTTATATCTAGATGTGTAATTGTTTTACGCATTTGTCAAACATTTTTTGTTGTTGTTGTTGTTGTTGGTCATTTTCGAAAATTCTACTTGTTTTTTAATATGCTAATTCAAGTTTATCTTCTTTCTGTACTTTCTTAAATAGTTCGTTTTTTACTTCTACATTATAAAATATCTTTATTTTGTTTTAATTCTTTATTCTTTGTATTGTAATTACTTTCGGAAGCCATGTATACACACACTCACACACATGCAATGGGTGATATGCTTATCTAGAGTTGTTCTTTCACTGGTCACTTGAAGTTAACAATATACTTTTTCTATCCACTAGTTACTATTATTTGGTAATAATCAGTCTTCGCCATGCACACACACACACACACTTTCGGCTTCGTTTCTTATAATGTCTACAGAAAGGCTATGTTAATGTGTGCAATGTCCACTGTTCAATTATTCTTTATTTCTCTCTATTTTCTTCTAAATTGAATACCAAAGTGAAAATACTCGAAATATTCTGATATATATCCCTTTGTTGTTTCTCTAGATCATGAACATATTGTCATATTTAGCTGAATCCACTGTTGCAAGATATTTTTATGATTGTAAAGCTTGTATTTTTTTAAGTGTAATTTGATAAAATGATGGAGAGAGTAAGAATCAAATATCTGAACATAACTATACAGCAATGGAAGCTTTTATGTTGTATCTTTTTAACAAAATATTGTATTGAATAGTTTGTTGGATTTGGTTCATTATGTTCAGAGCAGTCTGTTTGTGTGGGTATTTATCTATTGATTTGTGCATTTATTTTTATTTTGCACAAACACAAAATTCTACCTCACCTTATTCAAGTCTTTGTTATCTCTATTTGTTGTTACCATTATCATTACTGTTTTATTTTGTCTTCTGTTTTGTTATTGAAAATTCTGCACTACAGAGTTTATCCAATTATTGTCACTTATCTGTAATAAAATATAATAAATATTCAATTTAATTTGGTTCACAAATTTTTTTGGCAGTAATTACCATTTATCCTACTGTTCTTTAGAAATTACACAGATTGAAGTCATGAGTCAGTTGAAACTAGACCACCATAGAAAACCTGAAACCACTGGACGGCCGTTTCGTCCTAGTATGGGACTCCTCAGCAGTGCGCATCCACGACCCTGCTCACTAGTTACTGACTTCAAGAGATACTCCTGGAGTTCTAGTGGGAAGCCGTTACTAGTGGAGTTCAACCAGGTCTGTTGTGAGATATCAGCTCACTGAAGACAATGGTATACGGTGGCGCAACTTCGTGAATTGGTTGAAGTTAGACACTAACACCAGTAGTCTAATGGTTAAGTGCTCGCTCGCGAAACCAGTAGGTCCTGGGTTCGAACCTCGCGGGGTGCGGTGTCGTGAATGTGCACTGCTGAGGAGTCCCATACTAGAGCGAAACGACCGTCCAGTGCTTCCAGGTTTCCCATGGTGGTCTAGCTTCAATTGACTCATGATTTCAATCTGTGTAATTCCTAAAATCTCCACAAACCCCTTCTGTTCCTTAGAAGTTTATATTGTTTTGTATACGCAGATGATCTTAAAGTAGTGTATTCATTTTCTCCACATGAGCTGAAAAATATGCGAAATTGGATTAGCATGGAGCTTAACAAGGTAGCACAGTGGTGCTTAAAATGGCAACTGGAGCTTAATACGGCTAAATGTGGATGGATATGCTTCGGCGATACATCACTCAACTTAGACATTACCATAAATGGAGAAATGTTATCTAGGTTATATACAGTAGTAGACTTAGGACTTAGATATTCCCAAGACTTGTCGTTTACAGAACATATATTGAAACAGATTTCTAAGTCTCAACGTCTAATAGGTTACATAACTCGAAATCTTTACAACAATGAGTCACGTATTCTAATGTACAAAGTTTGTGCTCGACCTCTTCTAGAATATTGCACGTTTATTCTTAGCAGTGCGCTCATAAAGGATAAATTAAGTCTGGAATCAGTACAGAGACGATTTACACTTCGTATTCTTGGAGCTGATTGTACCTTAACTTATAATTCTAGATGTAATAAACTTGGGCTAGACCCTTTATGGAAGAGGAGACTCAAACTAAATCTTATTTTTTTCTTCAAACTACTTCATAAACTATCGCTTACATCCAATCACGCGATTCAATATGCAGAAACTTCTCATTATGACATCCGTAATTCCTTATCACTAGTGGAACAAACTCATTCTAAATCATCCCTTTATATGAATTACTTCACCTGCAAATTTTCTAGACTATGGAATAACCTACCACAATCTATTCGCACGATAAAATCACTCCCATTATTTGTTCGCTGCATCGATGCATACTGCTCTTCTGACAATGCATTGAATGGTCTAGCACCTGCAAGTGTATCTCATTCCACAAGTGATATTTTAGGAACTTTAAGTGTTTAGCCATCTTTATTAGTGAATCCCCTAAGTAAAACCACCCACTTGCTGTCAATATGTTAACACCGTCCCTAGCAAGCTTAACTAATTTGAATAACATAAACAGCATATCACTGTGTCACATGACACACGCATTTAGGTAGACCTGATTCATATATTTTGGTAATTACTGCTTTGTTTTTCCGTGCTCTGTGTTTTCGTTTTAATTTCTCTAGTTGTAAATAATTATCATTAATTCGATCTGGCACACGAATTGACCTTAATTACTCCGTTAATAAATCAACAGGCTGTTCATTTAAGAAATATTAAAAATTCCCGTATGAGGCATAGGATCGCTGTAATATATATACTACTTAAACAACTACTGAACTAGTATACTTAAAACTTTCTTTTATCATATGTTTGTTCTGCGCGTCTAACGTTACTATTTATATCAAATTGATCATGCCTGTAAACTGGCGTGAATACTGTAATTATTATTTTCAGAATATAAATTATTATTATTATTAATCTGCATACTCATAAATAACAGAACCAGATGTATTACACGGTTTGGAATATTTACATTATTATTAGTTGACTTACCTTCATAGTGTTGAGTTTATTAAGAGATGACTGGTTATTTTGGATAATTGACTAACAGTTGATATACTTCAATTTGAATATCTGATAACGCTATCTCTTACACATTAGATATTATGCACAGATTAACTATTCATGTACACAACTAAAAGGTTTATTTGTACTTTTGGACAAAATGCATAACTCTGCTACAATATCCACGAACCCCCACTCTGATAATAATAATCATGTGCTCACTAGTGACTGGCTTCAAGAGGTATTTCCTGATGTTCTAGTGAGAAGCCGTGGCCAGTGGAGCTCAACCGTGTCTGTTGTAGAGGCAGTTACTCACTGAAGACACTGGTGGACGGTAGCGCAATATCGTGGGTTGGTTGAAGTTAGACATCAACACTGTTGGGTGCCGGCTCAGTGGTTTATAGGTTAGGCGTTCGCGCGCGAGATCGGAGGTCCTGGGTTCGAGTCCCATGTGCGGTGTCGTGGATGCGCACTGCTGAAGAGTCCTGCACTGGGACGAATCGGTCATTCAGTGCTTCCAGATTTTCCATGGTGGTCTAGCTTAGATCAACTCATGGGTTCAACCATCAAATATTACAATATCGATGAACCCCCATTCTGATAATATTCATGTTAAAGTGGATATTTGCTTTTTTTATTTTTATGTTTCTTAGAATAAAAAGTAGTCTAATAAATGTTAAAGAGATGGCTTGTTATAAAATACAATAATTAAGAAGAAATGCTGTGTAAAATTTCTAACAGAAATGGTCTGAAAGAACAACTAAATCTTAAAAAGGCAATAGTATCAGCAAAGATAGTAGTTTTTTAGTGGCCTGATATTTGACTCCAGTTTGATCGTTTGTGACTGCTATTGAAATGTACATATCACCGATTCTCGTATATAATCATCGAATTAAATCGCGTTAGTGAATAACGGATTCAAATAAGTCAAATCCGAGAATGGATTTTTGAATGCGTGAATTTTGTACACATTAATTTGAACAGACAATCAGAGTATCATAGCTAATGAAGCGAAGTAGAGAGAGCAAA